AACCCTAAGGCTAACCTCACAGGTACCTTCCTGACCCTAAAACTAACCGAAACTCAATTCACACCTTGGTCCTAAACCCAAACCTCACACCCAAAATCAGCCTCTGAAGTTGTGGGGCCTAGGCTTTGGGCCCCACGAGGCTGCATTTTCCTTAAAACTGGGCCCCACGATGTAGGAAAAACACACACACACACACACACACACACACACACACACACACACACCCCTGCTAACATGCCACATGATTTATTTACTTGACCTTACAGAGGGAGGGGGGGTGTTTGACACGGGATGTGGGCAGAAATGTGATCATCCGTGCAAACCTACCAACATCAGTTTGTCTTCACTTTTGACTCAAACTCATTTCCAAATATTTCAAGTGTTTAAAATTTGCACCTGTTCCCTGCAAAAAAAGAAGAAGCTGTTTGCTCTTTAAAACTCGCACACTGCAGCATTTTTCACTAGAGCCACATCAGGTTTGTAATTTCATGCCATGAGCTGCCACTTTACCTTATCAGTTGCAAAAAAAAAATACTAATTAGTTATTTCCTATCTTCAGGGTACCAGAGAGGTTGCAGAATGATTTCCCACGAGGGGCTGTGCCTTATTGTCCCCCCCTCACACAGCTGACCGTGTCCACCGTTTCGGCCTCGCCATTATCACATTCTCACCCCGGCCTCGGCGTGCACGAGAACCTGCGAAGAGGAGAACGTGACAAGTTAGCAGCCATACCTTTCGTCTCAGGATGAACAGTCGCTCCCGGGTTATCCTGGCTTCTTGGTGCGAGATGAGGACGGTGATGGACGGCTCCTTCTGCACCACGTCACCACTTCACGGGGAGCCTTTCTGATGCGTCTGCTGGGGGGGGTCTGGTTAAGACTTTACCCCCACCGACGACCACGAGCTAAAGTGGGAGACGGGAGGGTTTGGTGACTGGAATGCTGCGGTCATCTGAGGGCTCATGGGTGGAGAGAGAGAGAGCTGTGAAGAAGCTGGTTGAGGGGAGGAGGAGGTGAATATCAAAAATTAAATMGACTAGAAAATCATCTGAAGGGCCCTGATGTAGCTGCTAATCTGAAAGCCATCATCGACTTTGTAATGATCCGAGCAAAGGAAATACAAACATACATTTTGACGGGTAAACTGTGGAAAGAAATGTTAAAGCTGGTCACCATGGTAACCACACACCTGTGTCTCTCACTCCATGCTTACCAACATAATATGCCTAAGCTGCATGTTTTATTTTAAAGCAGTCATATATGGTTAACAGAGCAGTAAAAAAGCCATTCGRCATCTTTAATAAATTTAACAGCAGAGCTGCGAAAATTCATTTTCAGYATTTCTCCAATAATTCAAGTAGCTGAAATACTAAAACTATCAAGATTATTTTTGTTACTGCGTGAAAAACAGAAATTTAGAGTTGAGAAACAATTCAAGTACGACACACAAAAGAAACTTTTAATTAAAAAAAATTTATTTGGTCCATTGGAACCTGAGATTTAAAACTAAACATACATATTTGTACACCTGACCGCCCATCTCCCCCCCAAAAAAYATCAATAAAATATAGAATCACATTCATCAGTTTTTTTCATTTAGCATAAGATTTCTGATTTTATTTGTCTATCATACTTTTATTTCATTTCTTTTAAAAACAAGTTTAAAAGATTCACGTAATTTTCCCGCACCTCTCCTTTCTTTTATTTTAAAATATTTTCTCATGTAGGTTTGCAGTTTGTACAATTTACAAGGGAAGAGGACAAAAAAAGGAGAGGAGAGGAAAAATAAAAGGCATCATGTTGGCTGCACTGACTGTTTCTTCTCTCAGCAGCAGGGGGCGCCCTGACAGCAAAGAAACCGCCAACACAGCTCAAGGACACCAGCAAGAGCCCCCACCCCCCAACCCCACCACGACAATGATGGACAAAGAGAGCAGTACAAATCAGCAACAAGAACAAACAAACAAATAAACAAACAAAAAAAAGAATCTCATATAAATGTAAAGTGATCCCAGCGGTGACAGTTCATTTAGAGGTGCCTCGTCTCTGCAGACGTCTCAGTGCAGAATCATTTCTAGTCAAGCTTAATCCACCTGGGCTCAAACTAGAAAAGCCAAACTTCATCACATTCCTTTACCCATCATTTCTGAGCCCGGTTAATTACCAGCATTCAATTAAAAAAAAAAAACAGGCCTTAAAAGAAATCAAATAAATAAATTCACAGCAACACGGCTGCGACTACGCGCTCACTCCCACGCCCAACAACCAGACATCTGAAAGTGGTCATTACGCAGGAGGTTTCTGTGGAGAACATACGTACTGGAACCTCCRCGTCAGATTTCATTCAGGAGACTTTCCAACGGACGGAACGGCCCTCAAGCTGTTCTGGAGAGGACATAAAGAACACGCCTGCGTTCCGCGTAAACATGCAGAATAAGACCGACGCCAGTGTCGCAATCCACCAGAGACCCTAAACTTCTACTCAATCAGTAAGTGTACGAGTGCATCGGCTTTCAAGTGTTCCCACAACTCACAACTTTTAATTGAAAGTCGCCCACTTTGTCCTTTAGTACCACACTAATCTTCTTCTCTCTGGGAAGCATTGTGCTGCCACAGTGAGGTGAGGACTGAAGCGTCAGGAGTAATGGCTTTGATCTGAAGAACTGACACTCTGACCTGAACAATGACCTACAGAAAACAGCTGGACTTTAAAACAGACGACTGGTGAAGTCGTAAGATGGTCTCTGGTCTCGCGCGCCCACCAGCACCCGACCAAACGCTGATTTGTGATTTCATAAAASAAGCTTTTTGTTGTTGCTGTTATTGTGTTCCTGTGGAGGGGCGGTGAGGCGGCGTGGACGCTTGGGCTTCCTCATGAGCAAACTAAAGTAGTCCCTTATCTCCAGATGYAAATTCAGCAGCTCCTTTTAAGAGCCCCCCTGTGGCAATTTCAGTCCCTTTAGTGCTCACCAACCGCGCTAACGCTTAAAACTGACAAACAGTGCGAGTGTGGAAAATTGGATACTGACCTTCRTCTCGGGCCGTGACAGACCTAGAATGCTAAATGCAGCCAAGGTGCCCAATAAAGACATACGCTGACTTTTGAAGATCTGTCAGAAGTCAGTGCTGAGACTCATCCCATCACCAAAACCACAAACCGCGGCGCTTCCACCACTAACAGCAGAGACAAACAAAAGACAGAGGATAAATGCAGCATCCTGGGCACCAGCCATGACATGTGGGTTAATGTACAAAACAAGAGTTGGTCCTGAGTTAGACAGCACTGTGTGGATAATGGCTTTGTCTACAACCTCACAAATACAGATAAGACAACAAGGATCAGGCATCAACATGTAAGACCGGGTAAGAAAAGGAAACCTAGAACACGATGAGGAACGTTTGAGGGGTTTCGCTCCTGATGTACCATTCAGAGGACTCCCGAGTGTCCTGTTCTGTAAAGTGGACGATATGTAGAGGAAGTGACCGGCTCGTGGTCAGATGGCTCAGCGGTTTGTGAAGCTCACCAAGGGCTGATGTCTATTACATGTACAGCCAAGTTTGAACTGGATCCTCAGAAGTGACGAGGAAAAAACGGATCCCTCGTTCCGTCCGGACATGGCACATCCACTTGGCAGATGATGAGAAACTGCTTTGTTTATGGAGCATTAAAATGAGTGAGAATAAATGCTGCCTGTGTAGATTTTACCTTCATGTTTACATTTAAAAAAAGACACACAAAACACATCTTCCTCTACGTCTTTTTTTTTTTTTTGAGGGCTCCAGGCAAGAATGTCTCCACCTTTGCCTTACTTTTCAGTGCTCAGACAGTAAATTGGATTAGGATCTACAGGTTGGGGGATAAAGTGAGGCGGGGGTCATAGCGGCCGGGGACGGTGCAGGCCATCAATGTCCGGGGTGAGCTGGGGGCTGTGGGTGGCCTTGGTTGGAGTCCAGTCCCCCAGGGAAGCCTGGGCTGCCTTCCGGTGAGCCAGACGGTGGGTGATGGAGAAACCAGCATTTCCCTCCAGCTGAGAGAGGACCACCAGCACCTGCCTGCAGGGGGAGACAGAGCAAGAAGCTGACTACATACTGTGTATCAATATGTATTTAACTAGAGATGGACTACAACGGAACAGCACGAGATTTTTATTAAGCAAAATCTGAAACTGGATTGGAAGAAGTCATTACTGGATGAAGAAAGGTTAATAATTATCAACACCTAATTGAATATATTTTAAAAACAAGATAAAGTGTTACACTACATGGTAAAAAAAAAATCAAGGCTTAGTGACTCTGACGGTTGAGAAAGATATCATTTTTTTCCAGATTTTCTTACTGGTGTAAAAGCTTTATTCTGTGTACAGCCAGGACATGAAATAGTGAGTAAAATCAAACAAAATTGCAATTCTCTCTCTCTCTCTGAAAGGACTGCAGTGTGTTATCATAATGAAGAAGCGGGCAGTAAATGGTGACTTTTAACAGTTTCACATCAGTAGGCTGTCACTTTAGAGTGACAAAGTCTTAAATTTGCAAGAATGAACAGCGTTCTCCGTCTGTATGATCGTACGAAAAGCTAAACACAGGAAAAACCTAACGCTGTGGGAACTGCTCCACAGTGGAAGTGTGTCTGCCTGCCAACAACTGGGAGATAATACACTGGGCCCCCGACAGAAAACAGAAGCTATTCAGTGTGGCTGAACCCAGCTCGAGGAGGAAGATTAAGAAGTGTAGAGATCCAACACTGCGGGACCAAGTGTGCCTCAGCTCCGGTTATACTTTCAGGTTTATAAAGCAGAGGCAGACTTCAGAGTCATGTGACAGACTGGGACGGAGGAGCGCACCTGTGTAGAGGCGGGACGCTGTCGATGGTCTTGAGGCTGCCGCGCGTGGACACCACGTTGAAGCTGTCAGTGCAGTCACAGGAAACGTGGAGGTAGTACTTGGGGTGGCGGTTCTCCACCACCACGATGAGCCCCGCCCAGCCGTGGGTCAGGTAGTAGCAGGTCATGCCCTCGCGGCCCTGGAAACACGCAAAGAGTTGGACGTGTTTGTGGTCGCTGAGAAGAGGTGAGAAGATTTTTTTCCTGCTTGCTTTGATTAGTTGTGCAAAAGCCAGATGTCATGTAAGGAGAGACACAGAGGGTTCACAGATACATCAACATTTCTTTTGGTCTTTAAACTTTAGGCTTTAGCAACATAATTCTCAGATTTACCTAGAGTCTGTTCACAACTCTGTGCTAAGAACAAAGAATGACTGAGGAGCACAAATCCTATGAAGGAGAAGAAAATCCATTTCTGTACAAATCACTTTATGAGTGCACAGAAAAATTAAATCATTCACTATAATGTAGGTAGAGATGCTTTGGACATKTCAGACTGAAACCAAACCAAACCAAACACTTTCAAAAAGAGGAAACAGCCTGTTTGTTGTTAGAGAGGAAGTGTTTTTTATGTAGTTGATTGCCTCAAAACACAGTGAATGCTGAGCCCTGTTTTGTTGTTTTCTCCTCCCACACGTTTACAGACTCTGATGACGAGCTAATTCAACCATATGTATCAAAACGTTTACTTGTTGAGGAGATGACTTTTGGTTTTTGTAACTTCTACAGTTTTCAAATATTTACTGTGTTTACAAACAGTTTTCCTATATATTGTCAACTTTCTGTCTTCTTGTGATACTTTGAGTGTTTAGCTACCATTTTTCTTTTTCAAAATCATTACTGGCACATCTGGCCAAAGTAAACAGAAAACAAAACAAAACAAAAAAAAAACTGTAGGTTTAAAAAGTGATCCACCCCAGCCGTGTCAATCACTGCACATCAGCCATGAAAATCATTTGATGAAAACCAGAAAAAGACAGAAAGGACAAAAAAGCAAGTGATGATGGATTCAATCCATTCATTTAATAAATCCTGAATCCTTTATGTTAATAATTATGTCTAACACAGGAGTCTCCAATCCTCCTGGAGAACMACTCTTCTGCTCCGACACATCTGATTTGAATAAATGGTTGATTAAGAAGTTTCTACAGAACTTGAAGAGGTGAGGTGATCTCACACACACTTACATTTTCTACACTGATATATTTGTTTATAGTAACAACTTGACACTTTTTCAAACCTATCTTCTTACTTTTAATTGAATTTTCTAAAAACAAAGATCTGGAGGAAACGAGCTATGAAATGATGTTCAAGGATAATGAGAAAATGGCAAGGACAGAGGAAGCCTCACCTCGTGTCTTTCTCCTTTGTTTTCAGTGAGCAGGATGATGGCGTCCGCCAGCGTGGTGGGCGTGGCGTCCACCTGCTCCACCATCACCTGCCGCGAGCTGTAAATGGCCAGGATGTAACCGGGGCAGTCCTGGCTGGGCCGACGGGCCGCTCCGCCGGTGGGGCTCGAGACTGGGATGAAGACGAGACAAATGTTTCCATCAGCGTTGTGACTAGAAGCACGGAGGTGCGACATGTCGCCGCGACTGGAGACCTACTGGGCGTGGGCGGACCTCCCGCCAAGCTGACGTTCATCTGCCAGTGATTGAAGGCGCAGCAGACGACGGCGTACTCCCCCGGCTCCAGCATGACATCGCAGCCGACAAATTTCTTCACCGCTCGCTTGCTGTGAGCCAGCAGGCGTCCCAGAGTCAGCTTGTTGCCGCTGCCGAAGGAGGCGCGGAACACCATGATGCACAGGTCCAGCAGGTGGCTGTCGGCTGTGTCGGAGCGCCTGCAGAGGTGTTGGAAGTGTTCGAATGAGAGAGAGCAAGAAGAAAAAYGGAGCTGGGGAAAGAGAGGGATGAGAGAAGCGGTGGGGAGGCTACCTGCTTCCTTCCTGGAAGAGGGCAAACTCGAGAGCCGTCCTCTCCAGCACAGTGAGAGCTGTGACCGTGATGGGTCCACTGGCTTTGCTGGGGAAGCAGCCTTGTAGCCTGACTTCCTGCCAGTCTGAGTGGATCTTACAGATGTCTACGGAGTCAAAGTACCTGCAGAGAGGAGGAAACAGGGGAGGTCAGATCTTTAACCTGACAAGTTTAATGGTTGATCGCAAGAGACAAATGCTTCCTGTATGCTTGCTTTTTAGTTACTACTTCTGTGTGATGTGAAAATGCTTTCGATGATCAAAAAACTACCCGAAAGCTAAATTTAAAGGGGCAATATCATGTAAAATCAACTTTTTTGAGTTTTATATCATGTTATAATGTTATACTCTCATAAAAACATGCCCAAAGCCTTGCTCTGACTCATTTATGCATGTTTGAGAAATCCTGCAGCGTTTTTAGGCAGCCATGCTGAGGAGCAAAACGACATGTGGGGACCAGAAACAACTTTTGGGACCAGAAACGCCCCTGGGACGTGTCTTTAAGCCGAACTTCCTCATCACGAAGCACACCTCCACACCCCACACCCCACACACCCCGTCCATGACTCCTGCAGGCTCTCGGCAGTAACAGAGCAAAGTGAAAGTGAAACTTAAACTGTCTGCTGCTCTCAACACTCCTTTTCACTCAGTGAAGCTCTTTTCAGATTCAAAATCCCTTTGAGGAAACGTATTTTCAGATGACAAGTAAACTGCATCATAGCGCAAGCGCAAGCAAACATGGCAACTGTCAAAAAAAAAACATATCCTAAAGACAACATAAACACAGCCTGTACACACCTGAAGACATATTTAATCTATAGAGAAAAGAGATCATTAAATCATTCATCACATTTAAATAAGAGAACATGCTGGGATACTTCACTGGCACAGCAGATAACAAAAGATTTGACAGCGACAGTTTAAAGCAGCCGGGGGTGAGTAAATCTTTTATGGGACTCGTCACAGGATTTAATGCATTTCTAACAGCAGCTTGTTTGGCAGAAAAATAAGAAGTGGGCGAGTGGAGCATTAGCAGTCACAGCGACCCCGGCTCAAAGTTCATGAGCTGAAATTGTACATAAGTAAGTAAGTAAGTCAGTAAGTAAGTAAAGTAAGTAAGTAAGTAAAGTAAGTAAGTAAGTGAAGTAAGTAAAGTAACTAAGTAAAGTAAGTCAGTAAGTCAGTAAGTAAAAAAGAGCAGCTTAAAAATCATAAATTAATAGCAACTGAAGGTGGTTTTATGACTTTTAATGACCAGTAGAGGGCATAAGATTTATTTGAGAATGAGACAGTTGAAGTTATTGTATGTGGTTAACATTATTTACAATCCCTGTTGCCTGAATAGATAATTTCATGTTTTTATTGCTGCATTTGTTAAAGTAAAAACTAGCCTGTTCCGGGCACCTGATTGGCAGCACCTGAAGCTCAGCAAAAGCTCAAAAAGCTGTTTGGCAGAGAAGATTTGGCAAATTTTTCATGTGTCCAACCCACATTCTCTGCTCTACTGCTCATCCCACAAATGCATATTCCTTACAAATGTGGCACCATTTAAAAGTGAAATTACCAGGCTTTCCACCAGTGTAAGATTTATTGCCAAGAAGCGTTGTTATAACAAAGGTATTATCTACCAAACACACATTTCCTTACTTTTTGTACTAAAGTTTATATACATATATATATGATTTTCTCTAAATGTAAGCAATTATGGCAATCTCAGTTGTTTATATGTCAAAGTAAGAAAATGATGATCTTCTGAACATTCAAAACTACAAAAGAATGCAGTTAAGGATGAGTTGGACATATTTTCTGTTTATGAAAAGCAAGAAAAAGACTATATATATATAAAGTATTACTTTATAAAGTCGGTGTACTCCATCCAGAAGACTCCCTCGCTGCTGCCGTGAGCCATCAACTCATGACGGAGGTGCTGCGGCCAGTCCGTCCAGTCGTCAGACCAGTTGCCGTTCCAGGAGAAGCGACCCCAGGGGTTACGCAGCCGCAGCAACCTGCAGSAGAGTGACAAGTGGACAAAATGATAAAAGGCATGAAAACCAAAACTGGGGTCAGACAAAACAGTAACTGCAACCTTTAAAATGAAGAATACAATAAGAAGTGTTTAAGAGAGAACACATTTCTTAAAAAAATCTACAAAAAAAGAAAGAGCAAGTGGTTCTTTGTAACCAAACTGCTTTTCATTCCTCAGGATCTTTGAAGGGAGACAATGTGTCATCCAGCCTCCCACTCTGACTGCTTTGTGGCAGTAAATTAAAGTGGTCATGCGTGACTCTTGGGTAGATTACATCGCAGGCTTTTGGCTACTTTCAGCTTCTTTTTTGTAGGTAAAACTGAAGAAGCCTCTTTTGTGTGGACTTACAATGCGTCCTCGATCAGAGCGATTCAACTGAACTGGTGCGCATCGAGCCTTCAGTCCATTCATTACACCAGAAGTGAAAAAAAAGTATATTACTTTTAACGAAGAATCTTTTTTTATTAGTGTTAAACTTAGGAGACATTTTATCTGTAACTATAATGTGAAACATGTAGCCACAGAAGGATGTTTTTGTTACTTCTGAACCAGTAAACAAAAATGTCCCAACAAAGAACACGTCTGTACCTGTAACCCTGGACATCTCGAACATCTAAGATGGAATAAGCGTGCCGAGGCCTTAGACCCAAAGATTCATAAACGGCATCGTCTACCTTCATGTTGCCTCCTCCACATGAGGCTCCCATCAGAAACCTGTAACACAAACATCATAAAAAAGATTCAATCACACAAAACTCCAAAGAAAGAATTCTTGGTATTTGTGTAGATGTTATATGTGTTCCAGTTTGTGAATGTGTGGGCGGTTTGTTCATGGGGTAATTGGGCAACACCCAAACCAGCTGAAAAAAAGGACATATTTTGCGGTCTTGTTCCAAATTCAGCTGTATTATGTCTGAGAAGCGTCTCCTGCCTCTGCATCACTGTCCAATCAGTGTGAGGCTCAGCTTCGTGAAGTACCGCCCCTTAAACAGAGGACAAGTCCACCTTTGCACAGACTTGAACTTTAAGGTAAAACTCGCCTCCACCACCAGTACGTTTTCATCAAACATGACACACACTTTACCTCGAGTTCCTCAGCTCTGTGCAGCTAGAGATTCTGTTCAAAGACAGGACAAAGGAACAGGAGCAGTAACTTCTGGTGTGGTGAACTTTGCTCTTGGGTTGGCTAAAAGCTACAGGCTAATAATAATAATAATAATAATAATAATAAGTTAAATGAAATCTGGTGTTCTAGTTTAACATGTGCTTGAGTTGACCTTCATCTGGTAGTGTAGGTGGTTGCTAGTTACCACAGCTGCTGGTAAAAAAAAAACATCTGCATTGCATTGTTTATTGAATGGCAATAAATGCCTGCTTGATTATAATGTTTGTATGTGTGTGAGAGGAGTTAACTGTCAGAGGAACAGGGTGGGTGTTTGTTTTTTGTAAGATGGGTTAAAGGGAATCAAACTACGAAGAGAAAAAATAAATGACAATAAACCGAATAAAGATGACCGAATGAGATTTAAACCATCCCACCAGAATAACTGACCATTCACTAAGGCCCAGTTTACATAAGGCTGATTTCAGGTGAAACTGTCGTATTTCTGCTGCTTCCTTTCTGTGCACATGTCCTCATCTTATAACTCCCCCCCTCTGAGAAAGTGCACCCTCACTCAACACACATGATGCTTTGGGTCTAAATACAACAGCTTTAAAGCGACTTGGGGTCCCTCTCGGGGTCTTTGGCGCTGGTCTCCCTTATGCCGGGTTTGGGCTTTACGGGTCGGGTCTGTGGTCCTCCACAGTCACTTTGAAACATTTCATTGGAGAGGTCTTGTATATACATGCATGCTCACAACCGCACACAAACAGGTGTTAAAATCCTAGGTTTTCTGGTCGGACACTGATTGAATATACACTCACCGGCCACTTTATTAGGTACACCTGTCCAACTGCTCGTTAACACTTAATTTCTAATCAGCCAATCACATGGCGGCAACTCAGTGCATTTAGGCATGTAGACATGGTCAAGACAATCTCCTGCAGTTCAAACCGATCATCAGTATGGGGAAGAAAGGTGCCTTTGAACGTGGCATGGTTGTTGGTGCCAGAAG